TTATCCACACTTCAAAAAAAAATTTCAGAAAAATTGAAAATTTCAGTTGTCTATAAATACCTCAAAAAAAGTCAGAATATTTTGAAAATTAAATCATCTAAAGAAAATGCCAATCTCAATAACTGGTCAAATTCAACTTATAAGGAACCTTGTATTAAATTTTCTAGTTTTTTTGGTCGCCCAACATTTTTTTACCGGCACTTCAAAAAAAATTCTCAAAATATCTATAAATAACTCAAAAAAAGTCAAACATTTGTGAAAATTAATCTGTGTATAGATATCACTAACATAAACATTTGGTGAAAATTTCAAGTATTTATAGTGATTAGTTTTTGAATTACAACCATATAAAAAAATTGATTTGGTCGAAAACTGGTTTTGCGTAAAAATRCCCGTTTTTCTGTCATTTTTTTTTTGTTTTTCTCGATTTTTTTGAAAACTGTTGGAAAATGTTTACTTTTGACCTTTATAATGCAACAAGGATATTCACTTATACATCGGAAACCACCACCAAAGTTTGAAATTGGAGCATTATTTCGACTAGTTATGCTGTATACAGACACAAAAAAAAACACACATCATTGTAAAATCAATACATTAATCACTTCGTTCAGAATCTGAAAAACACTGATAATGTTCTTACCATCAAATTTTATAATAGGATATATTTACTATAATGTCTAAGGTAACGTAGTAAAACGTGAACTGCTGAGCGTAAATTTGCTATGTAACGCATTTTTACTACTGCAGAGACAATAAATACGGGTGTGGCGCCCTCTTAAGGTCATGAAATATTTGTTGTCATTTTTAGTGTGCTGTATGTTTAACTACGTTACTATGTAAATATTAAAAACATATTTTTTGCTATGTGTGAACACTGTAAATTACAATTAATATAATATTAGTATTTAGTAGGGTAATGTGACTGTGTTTAACCAATCCACACCGRCTGAAAAAGATTAACACAATATAACAATTAAAAATAAATTAAAATTGCGTGGTATATTATTGAAAAAATGATCAWATAACACTACTATGTTTAGATACCTAATAAAGTAAAATCTAAATGTATAGGTATCATATATTTTATTTTATTTTATTTGTGTGTATATATTAAATTAGTATTTTATAATTGCCTATAACTTATTCATATGTATTAAAGTTTAATAATTAAACTAATATATATATATTATATTCGTCAAATTTCAAAAATATAATTCAAAATAATATATTAAAAAGTACAATATATCCATCTTATTTTAAATTATAAGTTATAACTTTTTAAAAATTTCGGACATTTACCAATTGATTTCGGTAGAACCTAGGATACACAATATCGTTTGGTCAAACCCCGAAAGATTTTTGTAGTTCGGACTTTTACAAACGATATTTGTTAAGTGTTAGGATAAACTATCAGTGTTAGTTAAAGTCCAAAMAATTTTACCAAAGTTATTAATTATTATTATTATTTAAGTATATTAGGTAGGTACCGAAATTCGGACACCATTGAGGCATTGAATTAAGCAATTTCATAATATGCAACCCCGCATTAAACATTCAATCATACTAAACGACTCCYTTAATTAATTGATATACTTGTTTTTATTTTGAAATCTATTTAATTATGTGGAAGAATAAAAAACAATAATTAAAAGGCATGGTTCAGAGATTGAAAAAACCATCCTCGCATTTTGCCATTGAAGGAACTTTTTTAATAAAATAAAATATAATCATCTGAATTATGATGACTAGTCAAACTTGACTATATATGAACATTGGTAATTTTTTACGTTCATAAAATAATTACAAAACWATTCACAGTACAATTTATTTAAATCGAATTCTTTTTAATCATAGAAATGCTGTATTACCTGCTTTATATTCGAGTATTATCTGGTCGTTTGCAAAGGTAGTACGCCCTTTTATACTGTTCAAACAAGAGACGTTTAAACTACTAATCAAATGTTTTGCCTATAGSAKATTATAATCACGCACAAATAACAAATTCYAAAAAATTTATTTTCATCATAGTTCATAGGAAACAAATTTTTGAAAATGTTGAACAGTTTTACCTGTTGATTGATATATAGACAAACAATATTACGTGAACTTGAAGTTTCACTTTCGWAAAAATTTCAAAATAATTTAAATAACAAATTTAGCAAATGCGCGCATTGTCTTTGAATACATTGTTTGTGTACCTATATATACGTACTATTATACAATACAGTTATTAGGTCTAGTAAGTTGTGCATATATGATATAAATATAGGTATATGATATTATGTTCCTGGTTTTTCAAAATTATTTGTTTTCAAACACAAAACTTTGGTCATTATTAGTGCCGCTTGTCGCAAATTAAAATCGATTATTTTCGAATGACATATATAGGTATGGTCACGGAAAACGAATGACTTACCGATTTGTACCAAGGATCGTCCATCATTATACGGTATTATAATATCAGTATAACAAGTTTGGTGATCGTCGTATGCAGTGATAGCCGACACAAATAAACAGGTAAGGCCAAATGAAATTTTATCGCATAGGTACCTATATATTTATGTATATCGGACGGCGTCTTAAAAAATTAAAAACAAATGTTTATATGGTCCGTCAACACCTCAATACAATTATTATACGTGTCGATCGCGTAAGTACCTAGTACTATACCTATATATAAGTATATTATGTCGTATAACGTAAGCGCACAAATAAACTTAAAAACATCGAAAACAGCAGTAGTAACGACTCAAAAATAATATTAAATACACTACCACATCACATGTGGATTATAAGATATTTCAACAATATGGTCGTTATGATACGCGAACTTGTATAGAATAATTAATAAATAATATTATATTTGGTGCGGCGATGAACGTACTCGCGGTGTGTTGCCGACGAAACACGAGCAGTGTCTGCGCTCGTTCTTCGACCGGACAGTACTCTTTAAGCGGTACACGGGCAAATAGAGGGAAAATAATGCTACAATAATAATAATAATAATAACAACAACAACCGTGGTACAGGTAATAATTATAGAAGAAGTATCGTCACCGCTGCTGCCGCGCGATTCGGCGAAGAACGTTTGGTAATTTTCGTATTGTTCAACTATCGCCGCGCTGTCTATGGCCTCGAAAACTTCCGTTTATTTTTAATTTAATTTATTTTTATTTTTTTTTACGCACCTAATACTTATATACGACAATACGATACAAATGTGTGTGAAGCTTAGTTCGTGGATATGGCGTGTCTAATCTGATACATTAAAGCACAAAAAAAAAATTACAATTACGAACAAAAATACCTTGCAAATAAATTAAGTTTAATTTCAAAATTAAAGACTTGCTGTATTTCATTATATTATTACATTATTATTAGGTATTTATTATTATTATTATTATTACAATTTTAAGGTAGGCATACTATAAGCAATATAGCTATTCTTTATTCAGAGAAAATTTTATAAAGGACTTCTTGTAGATGAACAATTTACTAAAAAAATATTAAGATATATATTGATTATTCAGAGGTATAAGATCTATGTCGAACGATTTGATCAAGATCAATAATTTTAACGGTATTAATGAATGTATTGACTTTCATAATTGAGTGCACTTAACACTCCACTGCCACTAGTTCCCGGATGGGTTCTTAGTGGYGAAAATCTTACCACATATGCATGTGTTTCAAACCACCAGTACCTACCTTACCTGCACGCAGTTAAAAAAAAAAATAACCACCACATTTGCTGTKGGTTAATTAATAAAAATAATAATAATAAAATGTTTCTGTTTTATTACGATACGAGAGTAAGTTAATTGCATCATATGTATAGTTTGAACTGCAGGTGCATATTATTTTATAACATAAATTAAAATTACAAATTAAAAATATAGAAAAAACTTTTAATATCTATATCAAACACATACAATAATTCTGCATAAGAGAAGTTATTGTGTATMATTTTTGTTATAAAAAAAATTGAAAATTATTATAACAAAATGTAAATATCCAACTAGAACTGTAAATAATTGGTCATTATTTATATGGGTACATAATAAAATTGCGATTTATTTATAAATTATAATTAATAAATACGTTCGAGTCTCAACAATTCAAAAAGGCAGGGGGATAAATATAAATTTTATTTGTGTATTATTCAAAATGTATACCTTAAAAAACTAATATTTAAGTTACCGAGAATCGACTGTAATATGATTAATTTTAAATACTATTATTTGTGAATCTATAATATATAATCTTATACGAATGCTACCACAGACTGATATTATGGCATATATTATATTATATTATAGGTAKTTTATGAGATTTAAATATTAGTTGATGCATTGATTTGATAATAATATTACCAAACACCTTCCTCGTCAGTGACAATGACTTACGTGTATAATAAATAATTTAATAATGGAAATAATTAAATGTTTTAGACGACAATAGACCACTCATTTGTTGTCTACGAGTTGTTATGCCTATAGGTACTATGGGTTTCGATTATATTATTATGTACCTACTATAATAATTGTATTATACCTATATAATATATAACTATTTTTTTTTCAAACTAATTTCTTTTTTTATGACGTTTTAAACGTTTTATTAATTTGTAACACTGTCATTATAGGTACTCATAAGTTTTAGGTGCAATTGTGTAATACGTTGGAGTATTACCTTGAAAATTGTAATCTGGCATTTTAATAAAAATAAAATACTGTTTATACTATATATTATATTTTTTTATTTAATTATTAGGTCATTTTCCTATTTCTGTGTGAACTTATGAATCATGACTGTTGTATTTGTATATAATGTCAAATGGTTTCCAAACAATATTTTACGGAAATGTCCTTCACAGCAGTAGGTATATTTTACCGGAAATAAGAGTCAACATTTTTTTACTTATTTGGCCCGGAAACTGTCCATGCGTAGATATAACTATATAACTATATAGGGTATTTCTGAAATGGTTGAGGTGACTAGTATATGCGTACTCAGTGTGATGAGCCAATGAAGATTTTTTTGAAATTTTTTTCAATCTTCAAAATCTGGGTTTATTCATCTTATTTTTAGAACATTATCTTAAAGGTGAAAATTAACACTAAAGTTTAATTTTTTGAAAAATTCTCATACGAATCGAGGCGTCACATCATTTTTACGCTTGTCGCGCGTTTTTCACGCTCGAATCGCTGACTAAAAAAAAATGGTGGGACACGTCGATTCGTATGAGAAAACTACAAGGTAAACATTGGTGATAGTTATTTATTGTCATTTAACATACATGATTAAATTGGTGAATTATTTTACATTGTCAACTAATAAAAATTATAAAATAATAACAAAACTAGCATTAACAGAGTTGTAAAGGTTCGAATTTAAGTTAGGTATGTGTTTTAGATGTACAGGTAATAAAATATAGTAACTTGTATCCGCAATGTCATGAGTCATAAGTTAGATATAAATGAACTAACTATTTGTGTTCCTACTTATACTGAAATTCCAGTTTTTGGATATTGCAGTAACATAATTATTTTGACTCGATAAGATAAACATTTCATTTTGTACTTATGGTAAATGACAACAAATAACTATCACCAATGTTTACCTTGTAATTTTCTCATACGAATCGACGTGTCACACCATTTTTTTTTTTAGTTTGCGATTCGAACGTGAATAACGCGCGACAAGCGTAAAAATGATGTGACACCTCGTTTCGTATATGAAAATTTTTGCTTGAACTTGAGTGTTAATTTTTACATTTAAGATAATTTTCTAAAAATAAGATGAATAAACCCAGATTTTGAAGTTTGAAAAAAATTCATAAAATCTTCATTGGGTACACTGAGTACGGCATAATACTAGTTACCTCAACCTTTTTAGAAACACCCTATAAGACAGGAGATCAAAGTTTTTGCAGATTGAAAAGGGCTATAACATTTTAGCTTTTATACTTTTATAGTGTGCATTAATATTGTACACTATTGCAGCTAGGGTACATATATAACAATTTTATCATATGAAAATCATTTTAATTTTACCAAATATATAATATATTTCAATCCGTGATTATAGTCCTTGTTTTTTCTTTTGTACAATAATAATAATACCTATATCTATGACCTACCATACGTATACAAAATAATTTGTTTTTGATAGTTATTCCTCGTTGATCATAAAAAAATGGCTGCATGTTACTTGCGTCCCAAAAAAAGGTACCTATAAATAGTGGTGTATTATACATTTGTAATTTTCACTTATTTTAAAACCTTTTCAATGATTTATTTTTTTACTAACTTAATTTATTAATTGAAATTAAGTTAACAAAATTTGTTAACTTAACTGAGTTAAAAAAAATCATTAACTTACCCGCCTTGCAAAAATGTAATAAAATCATATTTATAATTCATTTGTATTAATTAACTATTATTTAATCCCCCCTTATATTTAGTTTATATAAAAGTGGATCAATAATTATAGTTCTATTTCTATCTTCCAATATATTAATCGGTTGTTTGTTGAATTGTATGGTTAACTCTACTGGACTCTTTTTCATAATCAGTTATTAGTAGTTATGTTGACTTGTGACGGGTTAAATTAACTATTGATACATTTTTGATTTGTTATAATTTAATGGACTTATTACTAGCCATAAATCGAGTTCAAGAAACCATTATTTCATTTGTTTCGTTATTTAAAATGAAAAAAAAAAATTTCGAAAAATATATGTATATCAGCTATTCAATCGTCGGACTTCAGCCACCGCATATTCATTCAACTAGATAAGCTAACCGTTTTTTCAAATATTATAGATAGATGTATTATAGTATCTTACCACCACCATTTATCGATAAGTAAATTGACACTCTTTCATATAGCTTAGTTGATTAATGGTTGGACGTGTTTTATTATCCATTCACTGCAATAAAATATTCTTCCTCCCATCATCATAATATAATATAGCTATGCGTTGAGTTTTGATCCTATAAAATATGCACCTCAAAATATCTGTTTTAAATTCAGGGAATCATGTTCCCTCATCCGTATAATCGAATAGAATTATATTGATACGTGATCACTGCATTTTGATTTGTTAGTTTGGTTGGTGTTGAAGAAGAAAATGAATTATACTTTTTATTACAACACCTAACTAAAAATATTTTGTCGGATCAGAAATTATAACAATTATCGTAAATATTGATTAAAATTTATTTACGATTTTTGTTTACGTGCCTACTCTATACGTTTTGACTACATAAAAATGCCTATAATGTTTTCACTAAAAATACATCTCATTAATTAAATTTAAATATKATTATTCACAGTAAACATTTATACAAACACATAATGCTTATTGTACATTTTATGATAAATCTAAATGAAATTGTGATATTCTGCACTTTAATTTATTTCAATTCATACTCACTT